CTATAATCATACAAAGTAAAGTAACACTCTAATATAATGGATTTCAAAGCTACCTTGTTGGCTTTCCTTCCTTGAATTTCTCTTCTTCCTTGCTAACCTTTCCTTCTCTTGTTGTGTGTGGCCTTGCTTCCAAGTGACTTCCTCTCATTAAAACTCTTCTCTCTCTCTCTCTAAATGAAATTTTGCAAGAGCTTCCCAACTTGAATGGCCTTCCTTGAAATGAACATGTGGGGGAGTATTTCTAAGCTTTCTATTTTCATTAATTCCACACATGCCCTTGTTACATTAGACTTGATCTTGACCTTCTAATCTTTACCTCTTTCCAAATGTACAAATCTTAAGCTATGTAGCCTAATATGTTGACACTTGAATGGTGAGTCATTAGGGCTTATGTCATCTCTTCTTATCCATTAAGATTAATTAGGCTTTAATCAAGGTTAACTCTCCTAATTGCTTGATTAACTTGGCTAATTACTCTTCTAGAAGCTTTTGACTTTTCAGAGATAGATGGTTGAATCCTAGCTATCCAATAAACCATGTTTGCCATGTGTCAAGATCTTGTAGAAGATGACTTAACCATAATCATCTTACTTAACCCTAATTAGATTTTAATCTAACTTGATTTATTATTTTCTTTTTCTTTTTCTTTTTTTTTCTTTTTAATTTTTTTTCTTTTTCCCTTTCTTAGCCAATTTGCACATGACATGTGTCCTTGACATTCTGTCAGAAATTTTTATCACCCCGGTTGTCCGGACAGTCCACTAAGTCTTAATATAATATTGGTTTATTTTATCTAATAGCTGAAAAATTCTAGTATCTCAAAATTCTTATATCAGACCACCATTAATTATATCTCATTAAAGGAAAATTTTTGATTAATTTTATAATTTTTATCCTCCTATAACTCTTTAAATTGCCATTTCCGTAAAAACGGACAATCTATCGATATTAATTTAGCTTTAAATTTAATTAAAGCTAACCTCCTCATCAATTAGGGTTGGAAAAAATTTTATAATTCTCCATAATTCCTAAATGAATTTTCTAATTTTTCATAATTTTCTGAGATCTCTAGATATTTTTAATAATTGATATTGGCCAATTTTCCCTAATTTAGCCAAAATATTAATAATTAAAATAATTTTTTAATAAATTATTTTCAACCTGTATTTACTTCCTAGACCTCAAAAGAGAAACCTTATTGACCAATTAGTAAACCTTATTGAGTCACATAGTAGAAATTTTGCTCTACCGAGTAGATAGGGAACTGTTTAACACTTAACCGTATTGCATTCTAATTTTTCTACTACCCATAAAATATCTTCTGGTGACTCATATGATGACTCATCACCCTCATAAATGAAGCACATGGGAAAGAAGAAGAGAATTCAAGTTGAACCTGTCTTCCTCAAAATATCTGAGATATTTTCTAATTTTGTCTCCTAATTAAGGGACATTAATTATTTAACATTGTACTGGAACATATTATCCAATCCTGAACTCCAAAAATTCATCTATTTATACCATAAAATTTGTTTAATTCTGTAGAAAATATATGAATTTTCTCAGATCATAACTCAGACCATAAGTATTTCTTTTTAAATTTCCCATAACAAACCCATAAACTATAGTTCTGAAATTAAAAAAAATGTTAAAGTCATTCTGCTGGCCTTCTAGGGTTGAGACTAATTTTATAAATTCTATAGCTTTTTAGATCATACATCCCCATTTTACCATAATTTTCTGAGGTTTCCTTATAACTTAAACAATTAAATCTACCTCTACATCTCAAACTAAGCCATAAACTTATAAATTCCTTTTAAGTCAACTCAAGGGCATTTTTGTCATTTCTCGTCATATACAGGCCTTAAAATGTCATTTTCTATTTTCTAGAATTTTTGGGTATTACTTCCATTTTTACCTATTCCTGACTCAAAACTTTTCAAAAATACGGTTTTACCCCTGGTCAAGTAAACCTCATAAATCACCCTATTATGGTCTCTATCATAATTTTTGGTCTGAATTAACCTCTTTTCTCATTTCTGGGCCTTAAGACTTCACTGGAGCCTCTAACTTTCTTTACATTGTAGTCCCTAGAACTTTCTTTATTTACAGTTTAGTCCTTGAAACCCTTCAACCTTCTTTTTACATTTCTGGGACTCTTGCTCATAGGGATTTGGTAGCCTATCTATCTTAGGCTAATCTGTGTATTCTTAGACCCAAAATTTGGAGTGTGACACTCTCATTACCAGAACTACATTGATGGCGAAGGCTCTCCTTTCTAGAATAGTGGTGACGACAAAGACTCTCCTCGCTAGAATAGCAACAACGACAAATGATCCTTTCAATGTATGTAAGGGATTTTTTAGAGTGAGAGAAGATAAAGCATGAGGTATCTGTAGTTTTAAGAGAGTGAGAGAGGGAAGAGCTTGAAATAATAATTTTTTCACCTTTTCTTCAAATATCAGGGTTAGAGTTTTGAGGGGCAACAATATTTTTTTTTATTCTTAAATTAATTTCATTTTACTCCTTCAATCCTACAATGGCATTTTCATATTGTTTGGGGGCCTTTTAGAAATTAACTGGCTACAGTAATCTTTAAGTGAAATATTTCCAAAATTTAATACTTCCTCTAGTATGGAATGTATAAGAGAGCGTTTTGTGAGACTTGTTTCAATCCAAATTATAAGTCATAAATAATGTTTGTTTAGCGCATTAATTGTGTTATTTTAATTATGCCCTTCATTTAATTGGGAACCATAATTAAGAAGCATCCAATATAAGGTTGAAGCTCTAACATTGTACTCGAGGTATTAACATGGCTTTGAGTTGTCAATTCGTGGATGGCCAAAAAGGAAAACAAATTGGGAGAATTAGAGTCTGAAGTAAAGAAATAATTATCAGTAAATCCCAATGATAAGTAAACAATTGTGGTTTACTGGCATGGAACTTATCATTATAGACTGCTCTATTGTCACTGAGATTTTTTAATAATTATATTCTTTACTTAGGTCTTCATAGTAATTCTCCCAAATAAATTGTCAATTGAACATGAAATATTTATAATTAATACAACTCCCTCCATTCCTTTTTATAGGAGATAATTGTAAGGTATAACTTTTTTCCTTTTATAAGAGACTTTTAAGATATTGTCTCAAATTTTATTTGTTGCTTTTTCATTTTATCCTCATTTAATGACTCATAGTGGTTATATTATTGTATTTAATTCTCACACACTCTCTTACCACCACACATTCTCTCTCTTCCACATAAATGAGAGTACTTTTAACAAAAAAATTACCTTTGTTTATGTATTTATTGTGTTCAACTAATTTTAACCAGCATTTTAAATAATGTAATTTGATTAATTGTCTCTTATAAAAAAAACAAAATGAGTATTCTTCCGATCATAAATATAAAACCTTTATACCAGTGTAAATAAGGGTTTTATATTTAGGACTGGAGGAATATTAAATAAGAGACAATAAACTATTTGAATGTAATCAGAATGAGATCCATATCGAGAAATTTTGGCTTATCAATTCTCTCACCATTTATATAACTTTAAGTTGTAAATTCGACATCATTAAGTGATTTTATCATTTCACCCCAAAAGGAAACACATTCAACATGTGTGTGTAATATTTAGGGGAACCATTTTGGAGGTAACTATATTTTTTTCATTTTTTAATTTGGTAGCTATGTGTTTTTCTTTTCCTTAATTAAATCTTTAGGGGATTAAAAATGCTAATAGAACAAAGTTATAAGACTAATGTTACTGAAAAAAAAAAGTAAAATTAAATGATTTAATTAAGAAAAAAAACATATAGTTATCAAATTAAAAACTGAAAGAAAGTATAAATACTTCTAATGAAACCACATTTTATTAAGGTAAATGATAAAATGAGAGAGAGAAAAATCCAGGTTATAACAAATATGAATAAATCTATTATAACAAATATGAATAAATCTAAGTCTTCCTCTCTAAACAATCTTAATTTTTATTTGACCGAAAAAATTAAACAATCTTAATTTTAAAAAACTTCTCTCGATAATAATATTATTGTAGTTATTATAAATAATATTCTTATAAAAATGTATATATTTAGAAAAGAATCTTTAGGAACCCATATTTTAAATGAAAAGAAACTTAAAGGACCTAAACTTATGCTTTGAAACTTAAAGAATCAAAAACAAAATGAAAATAAATTTGAAGGACTAAAGTTTATATTAACCCTATAATTTACTACTTTAACCCATTTATTAATTTCATCCATTAATGTTTCTCTTGATACATTCTTTTCTTAAAATAATTCAAGGCCAAAATTACAAAGTTCACTAAATAACATTTCAAGCTTAATACAAAGTTTTTAAATTAACACCCATACCAAGATAACTATTTTTCATATTCAAATAAAAATAAATAAAGATCTCATTGTAAAATTGTATCATGAAAACAAAGCAACAAAGGAAAGGTATGGAGCGAAAGACAGCGGCAAATATGGGTTCGATCAGTCCGAAATGAAAGGGTCAATAAGAGCATTCAATCATTTCATAATGAGTATAAGGCCCGAGGAACTTCATTAACAAATTAAAATCTTATAGAACTTTATTATAATTAAATCAATCAGTGATGTCCGTCGACAAGGATTACCTCAAGCGTAGCCCCAAAAAAACAAAAAAAGGATCCTCTAAGCCCAGATTGTCATTCTTCCTCATTATTATGGTTAAAAACCAATATTATAAGTACAGATAAGTAATAAACATCCATGCAAAAAAAAAAAAAATCGTTTTGAAAAAGAAAATCAAAGGAATGACATTTGCCACGTGAAAATAAAGACACATGGTCGCTGTAAGCCGGAAAGATGTTGCACTTCAACCTCATTTTTCATGATCCAGCAAATCAGTATATAATTTATATACAAAAGATCTAACAAGCCATGCTATTTATGAGTGATGATCAATGTAGCTTAATTCTTAGATTTCATGCAACACACATGACCTACACTAGTCACTGATAATTCAAATAAACAAAACATGACAATGTTAGTTTAACATGGCCCCTTTATTGATCTAAGATACATATACACATGCTATTTAACCGTACGTAGAAGACAATTTCCCCATGAACACAACTACAAAATCCATAGGAAGCGAATTAGAGGGTGGGAACGGGGCAAACCCAATTTGTGCAACTTTCTTTAGTACAAATAAACCCCCCAAAAAATGTCTGGGATTCCATGCTGATGGTGAGGGATGTTTTTTTGACACAAGTTTCAGAAATGAAGCAATATGTCCATATGATATATAAAAAAGAACATCAGACACTGAGCTTGGGATGAAAATCGGAGTTAACAATTAAAGAGGTAATTTCATCCAAACAAGCCATTCGGATCCTCTCAGGTGTTGCTGGATTATCAAGAGGAAACCAATCATTATACCCCATTTCTGCTCTTGCAGCTCTAATGGCGTCTTTGATGGCGAAGAATACACAAGATGCTAGGAAAAACGGAGGCTCACCAACAGCTTTAGATGAATGGATGGCTTTGACATTTGGATGACCCTATCAGTTAAGAGGCACGGACAAAAAAAAAGAAAGAAAGAAAGATGGAGTTACTATCATGCAGCAAACTCAGAATTTGTGCAGAAATGTGGTGTCTGTTGAGAAAAAGACCAAAAGAGATAGCACCCTTAAAAATTCGTTTTATATGACAAATTTCAAAGTTGTTTATATTCATTAGGTCAAATTCTCCAATTATACTTATTATTTTGTTATTATTAATTGTTAAAATGCGTCTGTGCACTAATAAATTCACTTATGAACACTTGCAAATTTTTGTATCATCTCTTATAATGTAAATTAGGAATTGTAAATTTTCATATGGACACTTGTTATTTTGCTATTGTTAGTTGCTATGAAGTTGACCTAATGGATATAGACAACTTGACCTAAGTTTTGTTCACTTCAAAAGAAATCACATTATGCTTTAGGAAACGAGTGATAACATGCATGTGCTACTATTTCAATGCAACATATCCCTACATTAATCTTACGACTATCTAAGGAGGCGCAGTTGTGGAAATAAAGTTGAAAGAAACCTAGAAGGAATTGTCAAGAAATTAACATCAACATAAACTTGCTAAAGCTAACCATATGTGCAACTAGAGCAGTGTACATGGTTTATTTTTCCTCATCTATAACCACAATTTCCTACGCGGAAACCTACAGTAATCTACCTGTTCCTTCTCTTGGAAAAAACATCAATCACAACTGAATATTCTAGTGATAGAAAAATATAGTTTTATGCACCTAACACCATAGTCACACCAAGCAATATAGCACAACGGAGTCGCTTCCATATGCATCACCCACTCCCACTTGCCCCAAAAGAAAAGAACTAAAGTTATTCCGGAACATACCTTGAGAAGTGAGACATTAAATTTCAAGGGAACATCATTTACTGAAGGAAGTTTATATGTTCCAGGCCCACATGTGTAAAGGCACCCAGGGGAAATCCATTTATGGGCTCCATCTCCCCATTTAAGTTCTTCCAGGGCTACCCAACCCACACCTTGAACAAAAGCTCCTTCAATCTGTTGAAAGGAGTAACAAGAATCGAGTATATCTTGCAAAAATAAATCAAATGCGAATTCAAGAAAATTTGAAATGAAATGCAAACAGAAGGTCAGAATTGCTGAACATTCTGTGCTAATATGCTACAGAGAGACCTAGATTAATAAAATGAACTAAAAATCCGGTAACAAAGGCATGGTAGGTGTGGAATTTGAATTTTTCTTTTTATTGATTCTTACAGGCTAAGGTGAATATAATTTTATATGTAACAACCATTGTTGTCTAATAATGTTTTCCCAAAGCTTTTATAAGATAGAAAGACTAATGGTGAATACAAGTATTTAAATAATTCAATAAGACCAAGTTGCAGTCCATGATTATAAAACTTGAGGACAAGTGACTGACTGAAGATACAGCCATTTTTCTCTTTTCTTTTCCAAGGATCTTTCCTTCTTTTGCACTTCTCTTAAATTTCATTCCCTATCCCAACAATAAAAAAACCAAAAATAAACTAAGAATGGAAATTACCTGTCCAACATCTATGGCAGGGTTCAGAGAGTACCCTAGATCCAAAATTACATTTGCTTCTCTTGTATGAAAATCTCCAGTCAAGGTATCAATTTCAACCTCAGCAAATGCAGCCCCATAAGTGAAGTACCTAAATGGATTTCCTTTACCAGTTTTCCAATCAAATCCAATATCAGGGGTAATATAAAATCCATGGGCGGAGAGGTCAATTCGCTCTGCATAGCATGCACTAGCCAGCTGAAAATGATAAATGCACGAAAAGATATTATCAAATGACAATTTCCAAGCAAAAGGCACCTTGGAATGGCAGAGAAAATATAAAAGATGCTTTCTACTGATTGTTAAAAAAACCTATACAGCATATAATCTTCAGAAGGACTCAAAATATGACACAGGCTTTTTCTAAAGTAACCCTAAGAGTACTGTACTAAATTCTATTATCATGTGGGCTAAGTTATCCATAAGAATGTATTTATTAAGGATTGGGGAATAATGGAAAAAACCACCGATGAATGATATCCACTAGAAAAATTATATTTCAGCGCAAGTTATCTCCAGATGCTAACTCCTCACAAGAAACAACAGTCCAGCATCTTTAACAGACTCTTCCCAAGGTTCTTTATTCAGCACAACACCTCAACGAATAGGATACAGAAACACAACTATCATAATACATAATAAGTGAGACATTCTTCAGTTAAGTCCTTTACTCTGAGTGGATACTTTAGGTAAGACAAAAAAAAAATGCAATTGGGAGAGTACCTCAGCAAAAGAATTAAAAGTTTGTTGAGAAGCAATAGCTCCATGCGTGCCTTTATTTTCTTGCATGCATCCAAAACTGCTGCTCCATACATGTCAGAACTTGCAGAAGCTGCCGTTGGTGTAGCATTAGGAACCTAATGTGCATAGTAAACATGAGTGGATCTGAGAGTATGGAGGTGGATTCGGGGAATTCTGTGTTCTTATTCATAAAGCATATTGTACAGAGATCTATATACACTGAGTCAGAGAAGCACAAAAGAAAAACTAATAAAGGCCCTAACGATAAAGAATCAAGATATGAAAGAATCAAATAAAGTCTATTAAATTTTCCTGATTCCTGGGAGCTAATCTTGGGATTTTCCACACTCCCCCTCAAGTTGGATTATAGATGTTAATCATGTCCAACTTGCCCACAAACTCTTCAAATTTCTCTTTGTGGAGTCCTTTTGTTAAGATATCAGCTATTTGTCTCCATGTGGACACATGAATAAGGGTAACTAGTCCGTCATCAATCTTTTCTCTAATGAAATGTTTGTCCACCTCCACATGTTTGGTTTTGTCACGGTGAACCGAATTGTGAGATAGAGTTACGGCAGCCATGCTGTCAGTGTACAATTTCGTAGGGAACTCTATTTGAATCTTTAGTTCTTTTAAGACTTTTAATCCAAATTAGTTCACATATTCCTCGTGCTACAACTCGATACTTCGATTTTGCAATGCTTCGTGAAACAACTGCTTCTCTAGGTTACTAGGTTTCCCTAAACATAGGCACAATAACCTATTGTGAATCTCCTATCCCCATAAGACCCTGCATAGTCAGCATCTATGAATATCTCAACACTTTGCTTATTGGATTTTTCATATAATATACCTTTGCCTAGTGTGCCTTTCAAATATTTGAGGATTTTATAGACCGCCTTGAGATGTTTCTCTTTTAGGGCATATGAATGTTGGCTAGCTACACTAACTGCAAATACAATGTCAAGCCTTGTATGGGAGAGATAGATGAGTTTTCCCACAAGCTGTTGATACCTACCTTTATCAACATCATCCCCTTCACTTTCCTCTTCTTCCTCTTCTTCATTGCCTTCTTCTTTGTTCTTGGACTCATCATTCTTCTTCCTTTTCTTGGTTGTAACTTGTACAAGGGTAGAGCTCATTTGCACCCTAACATGCCTGTTTCTTTAAGTAGATCAAGTACGCGCTTGCATTGAGGGTTATAGATCCCCTTCTTTGATCAAGCTACCTCCATGCCTAGGAAGTATTTCATATCTCCCAAGTCTTTTACTTGGAACTCTTGTGCTATGGATTCTTTTATCCTTTCAGTTTCTTCTGGGTCATCTCCAGTAAGGACTACGTTTGAAGAAAAGAGTATGATCACTTTGCCCTTGCTTCTAGCATTCTCTTCTCAAGACATGAGTAAAACGTTCGAACCAAGCGCGTGGTGATTGCTTCAGGCCATACAAGGACTTCTTCAATTTGCACACCATGTTTGGGTAGTAGGTTGGAAATCCAGGTGAAGGTATCATGTATACCTCGTCTTTTAGGTCACCATTTAGGAATGTATTTTTTACGTCTAACTGGTAGATTTGCTAGTCTAAGTTTATTGCAAGGGACACCAAGATCCTAACAGTGTTTATGAGCTAAATCTAATCCCCCCATAATCTGCTTAATATTTCAGTAATAATAATTATTTACATATTAACCACAGCAACATATTTGAATATCAAAATCCCATACATGCTTTACCATTCCTTTGGTTTCTTCTCCCTTTCTTTTAGTTTTCTTTTATGGATTTTCCTATGGGCAATTGATTTTGGTGCTATGTAGGTATGATCCTGGGGAAAATCTCGAGAACAGCTCCCAGGAATCAGGAAAAATTCATAGACTTTATTTGATTCTTTCATATCTTGATTCTTTACTGTTAGGGCCTTTATTAGTTTTCCTTTTATGTTTCTCTGACTCAATGTATATATACCTCTGTACAATATGCTTTATGAATAAGAATACAGAATTCTTCAAATCTACATCCCTACTCTCTTGGGTATTACAGCACGAAGGGGGAGATTACTCTGTTTAGTAATCACCAACCTGACACACAATGCCCAACGACATACCCACTGAGTCGACCAAGTCGAACATGGAGCTTAGGCCCTCAAACTTTTTGAATTCTAGGATACCGCTGACGACACCAAATTTTGAAGGCAACATCGTCCTGATCGTCCCAAAGAAGCTGACGGGCAACAATTATGGGGAATGGGCATAATCAATTCTGCTTGCGATGGAAGGGAGAGGCAAAATTGGCTACCTCATCGGTAGCTCACTATGCCTAGCTACCACCAACTCGCAACTTGCATGACTCTAGAAGACTGAAAATTCGATGGTAGCGTCTTGGCTCATCAATGCAATAGTTCCTATGTTCCTCTTAACGGTTAAGGAAATCTAGGATGCTGTCAAGGAAGCTTACTCAAACGGAGAAAATGTTTCACAAGCCTTTGAAATTAAGACTAAATTATGGCAAAGGAAACAAGGTACAAGAAATCTCAATGAGCATTATTTAAACATGTTTGCATTGTGCCAGGAGCTAGACCTTCAAAATGAAAAGTCTTGGAAATGCCCAGAGGATGTTGCACAATATAAGAAGACGCTTGTTTGAATTTCTGGTCGGACTCAATGATGACCTTGATGCTGTGAAGGGGCGCATTCTCGGCCAAGTCCCTCTTCCCACTGTTCGAGAGGTCTTTGCTGAAGTAAGGAGGGAAGACTCACACGGAAAGGTTATGCTAAAACCCCTCTCAGATTCTCCCGTTAACCCTGAATCTTCTTCTGCTCGTTTCTCTTGTGGCACTGATCAAAAGGGTCAGAAAACTAAATCTATATGAGTATTGTAAGAAGACAGGTCACACTAAAGATATTTGCTGGGATATTAATGGGAAACCAGCAGACTGGAAGCCCAAAAGAGGGAAAGGAAGAGCCTGTGTTGCTGAAAAAAACGAAGATAGACCCGTAACGTCCCAAAACATACCCAGTGAGCAAATCTCAAAACTGATAGAAATTCTCTCTAATCTTCAACCTACCAGACAAGCAGCACGCAGTGAATCTCGACCTACTGTTGCTATATATCCAAAGCTTGTGTTTTGGTAGGTGCTGGATAGTTGACTCTGGTGCTTCTGACCATATGACTGATAATCGTGCTGTATTTAATGACTATACTCCTTGTGATGGGTCCCTTAAGATAGTTGACGCCTCTATATCCCTAGTAGTGGGTATAGGGAACATTAAAACTTCAGGCCAGATTACACTTTATGCTGTTTTAAATGTCCCAAATTTAAAATGCAACTTGCTCTTAGTTCATAAACTTACTAAAACCAAAGTGCCATGCTGATGTTTGTGATTCTTATTGCCTATTTCAGGACATGTCAACAAGGAAGACGATTAGTTATGCTAAGGAACTTAATGCTCTATACTGCTTTGATGAAGCTTCCATGCATCCTAGTACTAGCAATGATGTTTCCCTTTCTAGTGATAGTGATCTACTTTTATGGCATAAACGTCTTGGGCACTCAAATTTTCAATATTCAGTTCAAATGTTTCCTTCGAATTTTTCAAATAAAGGCATTTCCAAAGTTTACTGTGAAGTTTGTGAAATTACAAAGCACCAACATACTACTTTTCATCGGAATATTTATTAGCCATCAACCCCTTTTTCAGCCATTCATAATGATTTGTGGGGGCTAGCCGTATCCCCAATAGAACTCACCACAAATGGTTTATAGCTTTTATTGATGATCACCCTAGAGTGTGTTGGACGTACTTTTTAAAAGAAAAAACTGAGGTTCATTCTGTTTTTCTAAATTTCTTCCAAATGATGAAAAACCAATTTCAAACATCTATAAAAATCCTTCATACTGATAATGGTACAGAATATATAATAACGAAACTCTTGGTACCTTCTTACAACAGAATGACATTATTCATAAACATTCCTACCCCTATACTCCTCAACAAAATAGCATTGCTGAAAGAAAAAACCGCCACATTTTGGGAGTAGCACGCACTCTCCTCCTCACACATAACGTACCAAAATTCCGCTGGGGCAATGCCATCCTCACCGCCACTTTTCTCATCAACAGAATGCCTAGTAGACCTTTGTCCTTTCAAACACCTCTTGAAGTATTACAAAAAACGCAATATGTTCCCTACTTGAAGTATTACAAAAAACGCAATATGTTCCCTATCTTCAAAACAACCTTCCTTTGAAAGTTTTTGGTTGCACTTTTTATATTCATTTGCATAACCAAGGAAAACTAGATTCACGAGCAATCAAATGTTTCTTCATAGGCTACTCGAGTTCTCACAAGGGATACAAATGCTATGACACTGAAAGAAAACAATTATTTATCATATGTGATGTTACTTTCTATGAGTCAAAATCTTTTTACCATACCACAATTCATGGGTAGTATGTAAGGGAACTGCAGTCTTCAAAAGGGGAGGGCAACAACACCCAACCTTACTTAGGATATGAAGAGGGGGAGAGACAACCTCAAAACAAAACCAAAGTCAGTAAAGAATTTAAAAAATTTTATAGTAGACAAGGTAAAACTAATAGGTCTTCAAGTTCTAAGCATTACCAGGAATCTGAGATGTTGATAGATCCTGTCACCAAGGGATTTGATGAGTCTGTTGCAAATGATGCAGATCATGAAAAAAGTATAGAAGTAGATCTGGACCTTGCAATTGCCTTGAGGAAGGAGCCAAGAAGATGCACGAAACACCCAATTGAAAGCTATATTTCCTACAAGGCTTATCATCTCAATATGGAGCATTTGTTGGTAACCTAGACAGCATTGAAACACTAGCAAATATTAAAGAAGCCCTAAAATCTCCAAAGTTGAAGGAAGCATTCTTGGAAGAAATGAATTTATTAAAGAAAAATGGCACATGGGAAGAAGTAACTTTGCCCCGAGGGAAGAAAGCTGTGGGATGTAAGTGGGTGTTTACAGTAAAATATAAAGCTGACAGAACCATTGAGAAATTCAAAGAAAGGCTTGTAGTAAAAAGTCTCTCACAGATCCATGGCACAGATTATACGGAGACATTCATAGTAGTTGCCAAATTAAACACTGTTAGGATCTCCTATAATCTCTCCTGATTCTCATCTCTCTGTATATTCATTACATAGTACACAAGATGTATACAATTGAATCATTCACACATACCAATTCTACATGGTATGTTCCTCAAATTATTGCCTCTCGCTGTCAAGTTATGTTGCCAACTCCGTCTTCCTCTATCTCTAAGTCTTGCAGTAAAGGTGCAGCCTCATCATATTCTACTAAAGCCAAAATCACCTGTGATTATTGCAAGAAACAGGGTCATACGTGTGACTGTTGTTGGGACATCCACAGCAAGCCAGCTAATTAGAAATCTCGTAAGGGTAAGCCCCGTGGCTATCAGGCATCACAGGAACCTTCCCCGTCCTCTGAATCACTACCAAATCTGTCAAATAAGCAATTCCATCAGTTGCTCACTACTCTCAAAGGCCTTCAAACACAACAACAACCACCACCTATGGCATCTGCCTCTATAGCTCACACAAGTACTACCTCGTTTGCACTTCATAGCTTGCTTCCTTCATCGATGCTACTAATCATATGACCTCGGATGCTCGGATACTTGTTACTAGTTTCCCATATGCTGATAATGAAAAAATGACCACTACCAATGGCATTGCTTCTACTGTTGCTGGGAAAGGCTCAGTGACTATTTCAAATTCCTTTCATATTGACTCTGTCTTATATGTCCCACATCTAGCCTATTTGAAATTGTGGTGTTTACTTTTTTCCGACTTGCTATATTTTTCAGGATCTCCCAATGGGGAAGCGGCTAGAGAGCATGATAGACTCTATTATCTTGACGTCTCTACCATAGCTGCTTTGTGTTCGCAAATAAATGGTCTCGTCTCTACCTCTCACAATAATGAAATTTTATCACAACATAAAAGGATGAGTCATCCTAGTTTTCCCTATTTGAAATGTTTGTTTCCTCATTTTTCCCTTAATAAAAATTCAATTCTTCATTGTGATTGTTAAGAACTTGCGAAACACCATCGCACACCTTTTCCTCCGTCACATTAATAAAACCAACTCACCCATTCTCTATAATTCATAGTAATGTTTAGGGTCCGTCTCGTATCTCAAATCGTACCTACTCCAAGTGATTTGTAACTTTTATTGATGACCACACAAGAATGTCTTCAGTTTACTTACTTAAAGAAAAAGCAATTGTTCCCACTGTCTTTATGGAATTCTTGAATCTTGTTAAAAGTCAGTTCAACACCACTATCTAGGTTTTGTACACTAATAATGCCACAGAATATTTTAATTATCACCTTAACACTTTTCTTAAAACAAATAGAATTGTTCACAATAGCTCTTGCCCTCACAGTCTAGAACAGAAGGGCATTGCCAAAAGAAAAAATAGACATCTTCTTGAGGTTGCTAAAGCTCTCTTTTTTACATGTAATGTGCCTAAGTATTTTTAGGAGAATGCCATTCTTACCCCAACCCATTTAATCAATCATATGCCAAGTATGGTCCTCTCTTTTGTCTCTCCCCTAGACAAACTACATGACACTCATCCTATTGCTCATCTTGATCACCACCTTCCACTTCGAGTCTCTGGCCATTCCGTCTTCATTCACCTTCATAACCCTCAATCCAAACTTTATCCTCATGCTGTCAAGCGTATCTTTTCAGGGTACTCCTCTAATCAGAAAGGGTATAAGTGTATGATCCTACTTCCAAACACCTCTTTGTCAGTCGTGATGTCTCCTCCGAGCACAATCCATATTTTCCAAAGTCTTCAATTGAGGGGAAGAGTTGGAGTCAATTTCAGCCTGTCAAAAGTATACCTGAACCTCTACCACCAGTCCTTGAACCTATTACTATTGAGTCTATTGTACCTGTCGAGCCCATAAAAACACCTGTTGCTCTTGCTCCACCCAACGTTGCACAAGTGCCAAAAACAAGGGGAGATAAGACTGGCAATAAACATCACAAGGTGTACTCACTATGAGATAAAGAGACTATAGAACTCAACATGCCCAGAGCTCTGTCAGAGTCTAACCAAATGGGAGATTCTGAATCGATTAAGGAAGTCGACGAAGAAGATCCTCCTATTGCCTTGAGCAACAAGACCTGCTCCTATACCATGCACCCTGTCCAAAAGTATGTATCATATGCCACTCTATCTCATGATTATGGTGCTTTCGTTACTAATCTTGATAAAATCAAAATACCTAACAATGTGTATGGGGCACCTGAGCATCCTGAGTGAAAGAAAGCCGTAATGGAAGAAATGATGGCATTGGAGAAAAATGGAAGATGGGAAGTAGTGAATCTACCAAAAAGGAAGAAAACAGTAGCATGCAAGTGAGTCTTTACCCCAAAATATAATACCAATGGCACACTCAACAAGTTTAAGGCACATTTAGTCGCTAAAGGTCTCACTCAAACCTATGGGCTAGCTAGACTAAAACGATACATTTGCTCTAGTGGCAAAATTGAATACAATTAGGGTTCTACTGTCAATTGTAGCCAACTTAGATTGACTACTAGAACAACTAGCCATTAAAAATGCAGTTCTCAATGGTGAGTTGAAACAAGTAGTCTGCATGACACTTCCTCCTGGTTTCAATAAAAGATAAAACCAAGTGTGTGAGTTGAAGAGGTCCCTGTAGGGTTTAAAACAATCACCTCAGGCGTGGTTTGACAAATTCTCCAAGGTTTTAAAAACTAAAGGCTACAATCAAAGTTTGTCAGATCATACAATGTTTGTCAAGAAGAATGGAGAACTAAAGGCAATCTTTATTGTCTACGTGAACGACATTATCCTCATAGGTGATGACGTTGATGAGATAAACAGAATAAAGACAGCCTTAGATCGAGAGTTCAAAGTCAAAGACCTTGGAAAAGTAAGATATTTCCTAAAAATGAAGGTTGCACGGTGAAAAAGAGGGATTTATGTCTCCCAATGGAAGTACATTCTTGATTTCCTTAAAGAGACTGGCATTCTTGGGTGCAAGTTAAAACTCCAATCAGTGTTAAAAAGAGTAGCACCAACCAAAGCAAGAAGAAAGCCACTACTACGGAAGAGGAAGAAAAACAAAAAAAAAAGACAGAAAGATGAGGAACCAGTAGATACTGGGAGATACTAGAGACTAGTTGGGAACTTGATCTACTTGTCACACACAAGGCCCGACATTGCCTTTATAGTAAGCGTAGCAAGTCAGCATATGCACTCACCAAGAAAGAAACACATGGATGCATCCTATAAAATTCTGAGATACTTGAAAGGGACACCAGGACAAGGACTCTTCCTCAAGAAGTGTGAATGTAGAATCGTGAAAATTTATCCCGATGTAGACTGGGCAGGCCCAAGAGGATAGCAGATCAACATCTAGCTATTGTACCTTTGTGTGAGGAATTCTAGTGACATGGCAAAGTAAAAAGCAAAAGGTTGTGTCTAAAAGTAGTGCAGAATCAAAATTGAGAGCTTTGGCTTAAGGTATTATGAAGGGTCTCTGATTGAAGAGAGTAGCAGATGAGGCTCAATTTCAAATCAGCAAACCAATGAAACTCTTTTGTTATAACAAGGCAGCTTCAAACACGGCTCTCAACCCAATACAATAGAGCGAAACCAAACATGTTGAGGCTGACCAGCACTTTATTAGAGAAAAAGTGAGGAAGGAATTGTATGTTTATCCTATGTGATCTCAAAGCAGCAGCTGGCCAACATTCTCACCAAAGGGCTTCCTGGAGATTTGTTCGAGAACTTCATAAGCAAGTTAGACACAATTAGCATTGATGATCCAACTTGAAGGGGAGTGTGGTTAATATGTAAATAATTATTAGTACCAAAATATTAGGCAGATTATGAGGGATTAGATTTAGCTCAAATTATCCCTCTAGAATCCCTCTAGAATCCCTCCTCGATATCTCTTGCAATCTCTCCTGATTCTCCTCTCCTCTAGATATTCATTGTACAGTACACAAGATGAATAAAACTGAATCATTCACACCTGCCAATTCTATAGTTACAAAAAAAACATGCTACAGAAACCAGCATGCTCTAAGCCATATGTGCTGGGGGCTGTAGTTGTTCATTTCTAAGTTCATTTTTGTAGTTAGTTTTCTATAGTGCTGAAAAGTTTAGTTTTCGATAAATAGTTTTATCATCAAACAGATAACATTATCCTTATCAATTCTTATTTCATTCTTTTCAGTAATCCCTGTAGCTTTCTTGAATAGTTCAATGACCTAAGCCAACATTTGTGAAGCATTATGACTTAGCAGCAAAAAGGAAAGAGGAAAAGACAAAGAGAAATACAGTAATAATCCTTACCTCAAATATTCCTTTGAGAAATTTAGAACACAATATCATAAACCCAAATAAGCGGGTAGATAATTTACCTTATCAGTACTTGTATCTGATATAAAGACAGAACTAAGGGAGATACCGAAAGCTGAGGCAGCAATCTGAGCAACTTTTGTATGCAAGCCCTGCCCCATTTCTACTCCCCCATGGGTAACTAAAACAGTTCCATCAGTATAGACATGAACCAGAGCGCCTGCCTGAAGTTATTGAGAAGATACAAAATTCATCAATATATTTGTTTATAATAAATTCATCAATATTTGAATCTTGAAACATATAACAAAATTAGTGAACTGTCTAAAAAGATAACAGAAAAAAAGGAAGGATTCTAAACAGAAAACATCATAAAAATACGCTCAAACTAAATCACTAATCAAGAAATGTAAGTCGTCATCCTATCACTCAAAAGAACATTTAAAACAGGTATAAAACTTATAAGCTACAGCATGTTGTATATTGGACAATAATATTAAGGAATGAAATACAGTAGGGAGGATTATACCCTACTCCCTTGAAGCTTCAGAGATCAAGCGCAATATGAGTGATTGTAAGAAATATTAAACTTAATCTTTAGCGAGATGATGAGTTCATAAGAAATATAAAAGGTAGGATTTGGCCCTGTTTAGTTTGCTGGAAATGGGGTCCAGGAAATGAAAATGGAAATCCCATTTCCCATAGTCTGGTTGGCATGACATTGGGTTCTTGGGTGATGATTTTCAAGCAAAAGGCTGGAAAATGATTTATTGAGCTGGACTGATATGAAAGTAGGTCGGGAAAGAGAAAGGAAATATGGAAGGTAAGGAGGAAACAGAGAAAGAGGTAAAAAAGCAAATGAAAAGAGAGAAGAGATTGAGAAAAATAATATACTGAATATGCTTTCTGATTAACTTAAGAACTGATTACATATGGGAATTGGCTAAGTATCTATGGAACACTGTCACCAACAACCGGCTCCCCTTTAATTTATTTTTTACATACCATGGATTCACGGAAAATGTAAATTTTCCTAGGAAATCATTTCTGATGACCAAAACACCCCTCATCATCCTTGAATTTTTCACACAGCACTCTATCTCATTCGTCTTCTTGCTGGACATCCCAAGCCAGACTGTTATCTGTCTTTTCTTTTTTCTCTCGCCATCATCTATTGTTCACTCCTGCCATCCATTGACCTTCGTACCCCCTCCCACCATTCTCTCTGTTCTCTCCATCACTACCTCCTTCTCCAACGAGCACCCCCTTGAGATGGTTCAATTTTGGCTATAGAAGCCACCACCAACAGGGATGGCAATGGCAACTCCGATTAAAGGGAACTTCCATGGCGACACCCCTATTTGCCGAAAGCACCTTCGACCAATGGCAGCTTTGATGGCAAAATCTTCAACAGCAGCACAGCAGGTGTCCCACTTCGCTGACAGCTTCCAGATCTTCAATGTGGTTTGATGGGTCCAGGGTTCAAAAAGAATTAGATTTGAATACTCAACGCCTGAGCAATTTTTCTTTTACATATTCATGGGTTATGATTTCTGAACAGTTTTTGTGTTTGTTGATGGTGGTTGAAGGTTCTTTGGTTTGTTTGATCTAGGTAAGCTGATAAAGTATATCTTGACTTTCAGATTTCCAGAATTTAATTTGTTGTTTGTGATTTCTGAAAAATTTTGTTGATGAAGGGTTGGGAGGAAATGTGAGGATGAAGAAGATAAAGGCATCATTGTCTATTCACTTCTTTGGCTTCCATTTCCATAATTCATTTGTATCAAACAAAATTATATCAAGATTCCGTTTATGTTTTTGTCATACCAAAGATGGTTTTATAACATTTTCCAATTCCAGTTCCAATTTATTTTCCAATTGCATTTCCATGAAAACCGTTCATTTTCCAATTCCAAACAGGGCCCAATACTGCATCCTGCCAGTGGAACCCATGAATTAAACCCACAAGAACAGCACAAACAAAACCTATGAAACTCAGAAATTAATGCTACCTAAAACAGATAAAGATTTGCATTTTTTAAGAAAGCAAACCACATCCTTCACTAAAACATGTGCATAATTAGATCAATGAGGAGATTGTAGTCAATTTTCAACAATATGATTACAAACTAGCTCTGGTTGTATCCCTACCAATGGCTACTCGGTCCTTGGAAAACTTGCGCACAATCTATCTTTCTCCTGGGCTTTCATTTTCTGCCTTTTGCTTTGCTCTTGAATGATATTGAAACCCTTGACTTAACATAAAGTACCTAAGCATATTGCCATTCCACAGAAAAGTGCCTATTTTTCCCCTCCAATCCCCCAAACCCCCCCTGGTTGCTCAGGAAACACCCAAAAAAGAAAAAAACACACACATATATATATATATAGACACACACACACACACACCCACATTAGAACTCAGATATTACCTGGTTCATAAACTTTGTGGTAAAGGATATGCCAAACTTGGTTGGAACAATTGCAATGCCACGCTTTCTCCACCGATTATGACCATTGAATAGATCAATTTCTTCACGCGCCTTCACAAAGTTACAGGATAACTTAAGTTCATCCCATAGCTGGACTAATGTACAGTGTTGAAGCTGCTGGCCATAATGCAACAGGGATCCCTCACCTTGAAAATTTATTTCCTGAAAAAGCAGCTTAGCTTAAGAAAATTGACAGGAAAATGCTACAAAACCAGTAGTGACGGAGCTAACACTAATTCGTAGGAACAACACAATAATGAATATATAACAAAATTCTATATTACTCTTATCACTTCTGGGCTCTTCTTGACTTCCACAGCAATTCTTTGGATCCAATTTTCGGCAATAAGCATGCCTTGAGGACCACCAAATCCACGGAAAGCAGTGTGACTAGGGAAATTAGTGAAGCAAACCCTTCCCACTATCCTCATATTTGGAATTTCATACACATTATCTGAATGAAACATAGCCCGTTCAAGAACTGGAAGAGACAGATCCAACGAATTTCCACCATTGTTATAGATTTCAAGATCTAGTGCTAGTACCTTCCCCTCATTTGTAAATCCAACCTGAGTCAAATAATTTTGAACCACATTATATATGAAGTCAAAAAAGGTATCATTCAAATTTAAACAACACAGGTTAAAAAAAAAAAATAAGACAAATAAAATTAAAAATAGATAATTAGAACCATAACCGACAGCCAGAATAATAAAACATACTAATCAAAAGGGTGCAAGAGGTATAATTTCTGTCTGGTATTGATTTATTTTAGCTTTTATTTCCCCAAATATTTTACTTTCAATCATTTCATAAAGAAACCAAAGCATATTTATCTTCTGCCCTCAGTTTGGTGCATTATTTTCTATCATAGAAGAACATGAAAGAACCATTTCTCTCCCTTTAGTAAGTTCCATGAAGGATACAAGATGAAAGGAAATCCAGCTTATTTCTATTATATTCATAATTAAATCATAATAAATCTTCTGTGACTTTCACAGTTTTTTCTTGCATCAGGAACATAGGCATTGCTGCAAATAGTAAAAGAATTGAATGGGGCGTTGGGTGGCGTGGGAACCACATCAATTTTTCACCAAATTCTTCTCTTCTTCCCTGTCCTTTCTGCTGCTAGTTGGATGGATTAGATAAGTGTGGGGACCACAGATTTCTTTCCTTTCCTCCCTCATTTCTCCTACCAAGCAAATCCTGAGATTTATTTGTTTTAGCTTCTCCACGAAAGTACTAGAGGGATGTCTTTGCATCCTCTTCTTCAAGCCTTGTATTCACAAGGAATAAGCATCAAGCCTAAGTACACAGTTTCAGTCTATGACATATTTTAAGAAAATCAGCTTTCTATAGGATTTAGTACTTCCAAGCAATTTTGATCTTAAACCATTAAAAATACCAGCAGCAATACCTTGTACTTCCCCACAAAACTATGCCGTTGCCCAGTAATCATCATGTCTATATCTCGGTCCAACGTGATTTTCACAGGACGATTTAATAAATATGATGGAACTGCAGCTGCTGCAGCAATAAAAGCCGATCTTGTCTCCTTTCCCCCAAACCCACCACCAATTCGCTTTGTTTTGCAAACAACCTTTGACATAGGAATACCAAGAACATGTGAAACATATTTCTGGTGCTTCTGAGGGGCCTACGAAAACACAGATATTCTCAATGAGAGGGTGGAAAAGATGAGGCCACAAAATCATAAGTATACTGCTACTTAGGCTGTTATTGTTAGGCTGGTAATGAGCTTGATTAATCAAATTTAAAAGTTCTAATAGGAGCTTTGTATAGAAGACTCAATCATGATACAACAGGGACTAAAATGAGATCAGTATGCATAGCAAACTTGAATACTCTCCCAAACCACTAACACAAACAGAAATTTAGAATAAAAAGATACACAACTGAAGATGGCCTTGAAGGGCGCAAAGCCAAGATAAATTGTCAATCCTTAGAATACAAGAATTACAATTTAAATTAATGGATTTTCAAGCAATAATGGCAAAACAGTCAGACGGCATGTAAAATAGTTGCTAGAACTCAGCTTTTACACTGGACAGTGGAACACTAGATACGCAAACAACCACTTGTAGGAAGAGATGAAACCAGTTACAGAGGTCTTTAACCTAGCATTTTGAATGCTTTGATCATGTATGTGCAGGATGCAGTTCAGCCATAAATGGCTAAAATCTATAACCTTTTTCAGCAACTAATTGGTACTTGATATTCCTCCAGTCCTAAATATAATACCCTTTTATAATGTAAATTACACTACAAAAAGGGTTTTATATTTAGGACCACAGGAGTACTATGGAACCAACTACAACTAAGGTTTCCAAAAGATGCATATACTATATTTTACAAGTACTCAATATCAGAATGTATGACTTACTTGAGTAGATGAAATCATATGAACTTCATTGCCACCATCCACTGTCCATATAACGGTGCTATTTGGCTCCAAATAAAAGTGTTCTTGACCTCCTATATGAACTTCCCCTTCAATTATCTTGTCACACTGACCAGACTGAAACAACCGTTCTACATCACCTTTTCTCAAACATCTCTCGGTATTAGGATGAAAACTTTTAGCATTAATTGCGTCTTGTATTGACAAGATGGCTGGGAGCTCCATATACTCAACATGAACTTTTCCTCCTGCTAGCTTTGCATTTTCATGAGTATCAGCAACAACTACTCCTATAACCTGTATATACTCACATAAATCCCATAGGAAGAAAAGAAAGAGCCTTCCTTTTTTTTTTTTTTTAACTCTTCAAGCTCAGAATTATTAAAAATACAAATCACAAACATCAGAAAACGGCTAAACATTCATTTTAAATAACCTAGATACCTGACCCACACAAGTGACATATTTTTCAGCAAAAAGCTCCTCATCAGCAACAACTGGCCCAATATTATTAACACCTGGTACATCTTTCGCAAGATAAATACCAACAAATCCTGGTGAAGACTCAGCCCCTGAAACATCAATTGAAAGTATTCGAGCATGGGGTTTTATACTCAACACTAGGGCTGCATGCAGACCATTAGAAGGCATTTTTATATCATCAGTATATTCAGCCTCACCAGTTACCTGAGCATAATTCCAACATGAAGTCAAGAACAAAATCTAAGGAAAAAAAACAGTGGTTCATTTCTCATATATGTGCAGCAAATGGGACCACACTAGTTGCCAATTAAGAAAAATAGTAATAAGAGCATCAGGATAGGGATCCTTCGTAATATCATCATATCTCTGAAATTTTGACAGTGAGAGAAACCAAATCCAAGTGTTTGACTTCAAGGGAATGATACAATTTATGAATATAAATGAGAGGCACACAAGAGAAGAGAAAGGATACAGCGGTGTGACCATGATGATCTACATTCACAAAGAGAAGAGGGGCTACGTCTTTTCCCCTTCATTGATGTGGTGTTAAACTACAAAAGGAGCTCCTAATTTATAATGGCGCCTTTATAATTAAAAAAAATTTGAAAAATAAATTATTCGTCCCATAACCTTAGGAGTAATATTCGGAGGTTGCCTGTTGAACTAGGTGGAATGGATTATTCGTTGATAAATGCTGCCATATACTCAATTATTCTTATCTTTCTCCTATCAACCAATCATTAGCAATATTCAACAGACTGATTGCACAAGCTTAGGTTAAAAAAAACAAAAAAATGATTATAGAAATTAATAGCAAATCTATACCAGATTGCATCGCCAGTGATCAAGGGATGAAATTTAACCATACAAGTACATATACAAACCTGAAATCTTGCTGAAAGATGAACCTCAGGAGAACCAACAGCAGTCCCATGCTTCATGATTTCAAAGTCCTGACATCCAGCAACTGGTGGGCAGTGGACTGACTGCAAAGCAGATAGATGTGATGATGGTACACACTCTTTGATATGCTTTTCTTCCTTCATTTGATGAGACACCCAAAGAAAAAATTTAAAGAAGAAGCTCAGGGTCAGAGATTTCCGGAACTCAACCATTCCACCAGGTGCGTCTTCCTTAAGTAAAACATCATTTTGAAGAACTTTCAATGCATTTTGCAACAGATCTTGGTCCCATATCTTTCCAATGAGATATTCCTTAGTTTTTGCTGCAGAAAGAGAAAGAGGAGCCACCCCACCATAAACTATTGACGCATCAACAACAACCAAGTTCTCATTATGTTCTTGAAGATGAACACGCATGCCTGCGTTTACAATTGCAATATCATCATCCCTTCTATGAGACTGTTTAAATTCTTTCACAAACTCAAAGGCCCTGGTCCATGGCAAGAATACTGATAGCAAGATTTCATTACTTGCCAAATCAACCTTACGGTAACCCTGAAAGAAATTTTCCGCTTTTATAACCCTGATGTTCCCATTGCAATCAACAATTCGAAACATTGCTCCAGCTGCCATCCAGAGAGGGTTCAAGTCTGATATAGGACTAGCAGTACAAATGTTCCCCCCAACCGATGCAACATTTCTTATCTGTGCTCCAGCAAACCATTTCAATTGCTCAATAAAGGCTTTACAAGACACGGTTTCATGAGCAACTCGCTCTGCTATCACCTTTCGGAAAAAACTCAAGAGATCAGATAGTCTTACTGCAGCACCTATTTCTAAGCCATCTTGCTTTACATTCAAACCATTCAGTTCTGGAACATGCATCACAGAAATCAAAACCTGATACTGCATTCTCTTTAGTCTCATCTCAATTCCTACCTCAGTATTACCAACTATCAACTTTGCATCAGGATATTTGGCTTTTAGATCCAATACATGTTGAAGTTTCAATGGCCTGAACCATTTTAGCCCACCAAATCCAGTTAAATTTAAATAAGTCGGTTTCCTTAACAGCAGTTCAGGTGGAAAGATGAGCTCCTTTTCTACATATTTACTTCCATCTATTTCACTATAAGAGATGGGTCTATGTCTATTGTCACTAAGTATGCATTTTCTGTCTTTATCTACATCACTGACGGAATTTGATTTACACGAACAGGGTTTGCCACTTGAAGGGCAAACAGACTCACCCTCATGGAGACTTGATGAAGAAACACTAGCATACAACATATCATCAGTTTTAGCAAAGACTCGGAAAGCATCAAGTATTGGTCTGTAACCAGTGCAGCGACATAAGTTTCCTGCAAGGCATTCTTCAATCTGCTCTTGGCTAGGTGGTGTTTGACTTGACCTCAATAATGCATACATGGACATAACAAAGCCAGGCGTACAGAATCCACATTGAGAACCATGAGCACGTGCTAGTGATTCCTGAGGAACTCACACAGTCAAGGTTCAAATACCAAAGGGCCAATGAAGATAATTTTTATGGGAAAAAAACAAATTTAATAGCCTAAGCATATGAAGTTATAACAATAAACATGAGAAATTAATAAACGGAGAATATCCAAACACAGAGAGGAGACATGCAGTTTTTTTTTTTTTTTTTTTTTGGGGGGGGGGGGGGAGTAGCATGTGTGCAACACCTGGACAGGGTGCAACCCAAGCTTCACGCTTCCCAATCCCTCAACTGTAATCACATGCATCCCTTCAACAGAATATAAGGGTGCTAAGCAAGCGTTGATAGCATAGTGCCTGGAAGAAGAATTTCAAACTTCATGGTAAATTTGACATTAAGAAACAAAAAAGAAATTTACCAGATGTTGGAGTACCAAACAAGCATCACATGAGAAAGAAACACTTACACACATTTCTTCGTTTTTCTATCATATTGAGAAGCCATAACCGTGCAAGCTCCACAACCACCTTCACCGCAGCCTAGTTTAGTCCCTGTAAGTCCGATATCTTTTATATATAACCCCCCTCCCCCAGGGAAAGGGATTATAATCAGTTTTGCTTTGCCCAAAAGAAAATTTAAAAGAAAATAAAATTTGACTACATGTGAATAAGAAAGAATTAATGAAATGGTTTGGAGTTTTTGAACATTTCAGAAAAGGGCAATGCATTTTTCAGTTCTTTTCTTTTTCTCTTGTCGGGGTCAGCATCAGTATCTAGGACCACCTAATCAACAACTAAAGAGCATGAACTTAATGTTCAAAAATTCACCGATTTAATGTAAAAGATAATTAAGGATGTCAAAGTTGTCATATTCAACTGAATTATGTTGATTAATTTGGTATTAAACTGCATTTAACCCATCGACAAACAATGAATGTTACCTCTAAGGTAATCAAGAAGGGTCAAGTGGGCTAATCCATCAGGCAGCACTCTACGAACGCCATTAACGTACAATATGGCCTCCTTCGTCTCCTCCAAAATTTGGTCTGGTGCTTCCCTATTCTCCAATGACCCCATTTACTTGAGTAGCTCCGTATGTAATTCTGTCCGGTAGATAATGGAAAAGGATGATACATATGCAGATTCAACAAGAAGGGGGGGGAAAAAAAAAACGAAGAATATTATCCTTCCTTTGGGCTAAGACACTGAGCAATAGCATTCTTTCCCAAACACTGCGTGTCCAGTAAGCTCGTTCCCGGAGAGGGTGGTTCTATTCCAGACTTCCAGTAAGCTCAAACTCCATGGATTCATTTTAATTTCTTCTTCTTCTTCTATTTTTCTTTCTGTTTTATTGAGGTCTCCCTATAAACGAAACTAATATGTCTCGGAAAAAGAAAAGTCTGCTTTCCGCGATAAAGCTAGCATCCGAAATCGAATTTCCAACCAGAAAAACAAACAGAATTTCCAGCAACAAAATAAATAAATAAATAGTAGGAGCATTTAGCGACTAAAATACATGAAAAATATCTGGCATAATGTTCTAGAATTTTGATTCGTACCGCTAAAGTAGAACCAGAGTCCGATGAATAACCTAAAGCTCAAACTCCGATGAAAGCCAACAAGCAGCCAGTAACTGAGAACGAGAACAAGGAGAAAAGGCAATGACACCTATGAGAGCGAATGACGAAGACGGCCCCTGGAACTGGAATTGGCAATGGTGATGATGATTGCCAATTTACGATGATATCTACTTGCCCCAATTGTCAATATTTTATTATGGAAATGTTTGGATGAGAAATAAATAAGTTGCGGAATTTACCTTAATTTATGAAACAAATATTTTTAGAAAATACTTAAATTGTACTCGCATGTGTGTGTAGTATAATAATTTTTTTTTTTTTTCAAAATTGAAAAGGAGGCCGAACTAGCTCCGAGTATAAAACCATCCACCTCCTCTGCACAAAGGGAATATTTGCTGCAAGGGCCATGCACCTAGTGCAATAATTTTATTAGTCTGCATTCATATCATGGGTACAGATCTACAATATCAATAATTCAATATGAAAAAAATATTGTATACGTTTGGTTTGATATCTTACAACGAAGCAGTACGGGGGACTTTGGCAGGCTATATATCATCCATTGTTCTTTTTATCCATATATTAGGGAAGTATTTATCAAAATATTATGCTATCATAATATAAAAGCTAGCTTGACTTTTAATTTGATCCTAAATATAATATCTCAATCCATTTTATTTCTTATATTTATCTATTTTTTCAAAGTAGTCATTTTAGTAGTTACACATATCAAAAGTTTCATCAAATGGTAGTTCTAGCAAATACATATGATTAGTAAGGATATTTTATAAAAAGTAATACCTATTTATTATAAATAACTAACTTAACTAATTTTTTTAATCTACTTAAATTAATTAAGTAACTCTTATATTAAAGACCAGAGAAGTAGTATTGGAAATCACTCATTATCTAAATACAAATAAATTAAGATTTGTACAAAAATTGTTCTATCTAGAGTGACTTTCATTTCTTATTGGACGTGATAAATATAAAATTTATTTTTAATCAAAAAGTCAAATTATTCACTTTTTGGATGATTTCCGTTTTGTCTCGCTGTGAAATGATTCTCTATAATAATATTCTCACATAACTTCCTAGATGATTCACCTGTAAAATGACCAGGCAAAGATTTTGTTCATATTGTACAATTTAATCCATCAATATATGCTGGTTCTCAGTTCATTTTATTAGGAAATATTACATTTAAAGTTACAAAATAGTTCAAAAAATTGTAACTGGCAACTTAAAATTTCACTCGACATCATTTTATTTAGGATTTTTAGGGTGCATATTTTAAATTACAACCTGTTTGATAATATTTTTACCATATGGTTGATTTTTCAGTTAATATGATTTCTTTATTTGCTAAAATCTTGATTGGACGAGTTGCCTCCTCACATTGGTCTCTCTAAATTTTAAGACTTTACCTTTCACTCCCCATAATAAATATATATTATTTTTCAAGCTATAATTTATTATCTCTAAAATATATACATATTTTATCAAAATTTATATGTACAAATAATGTAAAATCACTACAAGAATTAAAAAAAAAACTTACATGGATTAAGGTGCAATTTTAACAACAAAGTTTACTCCAATAAGTATTGGGCACCATAAAATTTACTTCAGTACCAAAATATACGTAAAGTTGTCAAAATGGGTATCTAGTGCTACGCTGTTAACGTCCATTAGTTTGCCATCAGTGGAGCCCATGAAGTCAGCCTTAAGATATATTTTTAACAACAAAGTTCATATCAAAAGGCACTAGGCACCATAAAATTTACTTAAATACAAAAATATACATGAACTTTCTAAAATGTGGGAAAATAACAAAATTTATCAATTCTCATAAACATCGATGAACTTTATTCTCTTAGGTCTCACCAAATATCACGTCTTCTCTCCACTTATTTCCACTTCCTCCTTTCCTTAGTATAATAGACAAATTTGAAAAAAAATTAAAGAAGTAAAACAATTAGTTAATTATAGGATATATTATATTATTAGAGTGCATACAACTGCCATGTAAGCAATTAGGGTCAAACAAAATCATTTAATAGCCAAACTTAACATTTATTAATGATCAGGGCATAATAGCTACGAATTAATACTTCCAGAACATTTTAGAGCCAAAAAAAAAAACTTTCTAGTACTGGGTGCTCTTCCATATATGCTCTCAAGTATTTTAGCACTTTATCCCATTTTTTTAAACAAAAAACATAACAATTCTCAAAATCACATATATCAACAGGGAAATTAACAAGTTATAGTGTAACTATTAACGATTTAAGGTGCCAAAATTAACAACTGACACAAGAAACATTAACAAGTAAAGGTATTGTTAATTTCAAATTTGTAATTTAATTATATTTTACTTAAAATAGAAATATTATATGACATTGTAACCAGAATGTGTATTGATAAAATTTATATTGGTTGAATGACATTTTTTTCAAAATTTCAATATATTTATGTGAGCGTGTGATTGACAATGACATTTGTCATATCTTGATAATTATAACCTGAAAAATGAGGAACTTAAAACTGATAGAGGGACAGGCAATGTAGTAGGGATAGAAACAAAACAAATTTTAAAGTGAAACCTAGGTAGGAACCAGACTATCATTTTGAAAAATTCATGTCAATGAAAGACAAAATTCAAAACTATACCCAAAATTCCTTAAAAAATTCCCAAAAATTCATTAAAAAAATAGAATAAAGGGCTTAGGATGGTATTTAAGGCCTAAAAAGTAAAAACAGAATAAAAATAATTTAGTTTAGAATTTTCTGTAATTATTGGTATTTTTGGCTAATTAAGGGATATTTAGCCGAAAATGAATTATTTTAAATATACAAAGCCTTCAATAATTCATGCAAAAATCAGAAAATATTAACAAGGAGCTTATTACAAATTGTAAAATTATTTCTAACATCTAAAAGTACAGATGTTAGCTTTAAAATATTTAAAGCCGAATTATATCGATAAAAGACTGATTTCAGGAAAAATTGAATAAAAGAAGTTACAAGTCAAATTTTGATCTAAGAAAAATTCATGAACTTCTCCTCATTAAAAAAAATTCATTGGCATAGAGAAATAAATTTTTAGAAGTACTGAATTAAACAGGATCTGAAAAAATTTAACTGATATTGGGAGATTTTATACTGGAATAACCTAAAGCTTGGTGGAACAAATTTTCTCCTAATTTTTCTGCTAATTATGGCACAAAAAATGGTGAGGAGGACATGGATGGAATTCTACAATTTTTCTAAGGTCATAATTGAAAGTAGACAAATTATAATAAAATATTGTTTTATAATCACATGGTTAATAAGTGGAATGACATGTGGCATAATTATGGAGGGCAAGACAAGATCAAGTGACAAGTGTGCAAGGGAATTACAATATATTAGCAAGAGCAAAATAGAAAAACCAAGCCAAAAATTTGTCTATAAGTACCCACCCAATTTAATTAATTTGGCCAAAAGGAAAAATTGGAGGGAGAAGTTTTGCTCTTGAAATTGATAAAAAGGAAGAAAAAGACCAAGTTATCTCCAAACAATTATCTAAGGTAAGTTAACGTACTCTTTAAGGATTTAATTTTGTTGATTAGTATATGATTTGGAATTGATTTGGATGGTTAAAAATGGCTAAAACCCTAGGAAAACCATACTGCCCAAAATGCCACATAATTTGATATGAATGATTTAAAGATGACAATGGAATTAGAAGAGAGAAAATGATTGGAAACTAGTATTTTAACTTAGTTTATAGAAGAATGCCAGCTTGTGGCATATATAAGTATGGTTCGGCCAACATAGGTGCATGGGGTTAGAGCTTGATTCATTTTAATTTCATGCTTCTAATGAGTTTAAAAGGTGAAATTGTATAGGACTATATTGAAAAAATGTATTTGGAAGTATTAAAATTAAAAATGAAAATTTTGAATATCAACCTCTATGTCTTGGCCAAGTAGGGATCAATGGAAATGAATTGGATTTTGATAAAATTAAGTTGAAATATGGATTCTAAATGAAAAATCATGTAAGAAAAGTGTATAAGAGTTATGCTAAGAAAGATGATGCAAAAACGGTAAAATCAATGATAAAGGGGTTAAGGGTTTAAGTGTTTAATGAAATTGTTAAGTTGATTTAGAATACGCTTATTGTGTAATTGATAGGCATTGGATTTGAGCAATAGGAGGCTCAAGAACAAGCAAAGAGAATCAAGGAGAAAAGCTTGTTAAGAGATAGCAAGAACTTACAATTTTAGTATTGAGTTGCATTGGTTGTTTTTGCTACGTATACTATGCCATGGTGTGGTTGAGTTGTGTGTGATGAAATGTGTTTTAACTCCTTGCTTTTATGCCTTGGCAATGTGTATAGTTGAATTATTAATTGAATGATTATGTACTTCTTTTCCATGGCATAAAAATATAACTAAACTTGTGAGAATGTTGATTGCATATAACATGAACTAACCTTACATTGTTAATACTATAATTATTGTTCTTTACTATTGAGATTTTTTTGAAATCTCACCTCCATTTTGAAGTATAATTGACACAAGTGGGGGTTGGGTTATCAAGAGAGAAAGGAAAGAATATGGAGGCCTAAAGGAAGCTTACATGAAATGTCATGAAATTATGAATTTTGCAATGTTATGTAATTATGGAATATGAGTAGAATTATGTAATGTTATGTATACTTAATGCATGCTTGTATTGTCACATCTTATAAATTTTAACCTATGAAATGAGAGATTTAAAACTGACTGTGGGTCAGATAAAATAATAGAAATAGAGATAGAACAACCTTTGAAGTAAAACTCAGGCAAGGACCGAACTGTCATTTTGAAAAGTTTCAGTCAAGGAAGGACAGATTGGAAACTACGCTCGAAATTCCTGAAAATTCTTAAAAATTTCTAAAGAATAAAGTAAAATGTCAAGAACAATATTTGAGGCCTAAAAGGTAAAGATAAAATAAGAATTATTTATGAGAGAATTTTCTATAATTATAGGTATTTTTGGCTACACAAGGAAAAATTAGCCCAAAGAGAATTATTTTAAATGTATAGAGGCCTCAATTATTCAGACAAAAATGAGAAAAATTTAGTTGGGAGTTTATCATAGATTGTGAAATTATTTCCAAC